ATGAGACTTATTTATTTCTAATAGATAGACACGATGAACAATTGGTCGCTAATGTTTAGGGACGGATTCACAACGGTTGTATTTGTACATGATGCTTGATTTTCTAATAATGTATTAGATCATATATTTATTGCTGATAGATATATATATATATATATATATATATATATATATATATATATATATATATGTGTGTGTGTGTGTGTGTGTGTTAAAAAATATAGAAATCAAGGGATAATCAACAAAATCTAATGAGGGCCGTAAGGATGTGTTTGGTATAGATAAAGAGAATTGAATCAAATAATTAAAATACAAAGGAAAAGAATTAATGCCATACTTGATAGTTGCTGACTGACAAAGGTCTGTCCGAGTAATAAATTCTGACCGAGTAAGAAACCATATTGTTTGATTATAAATCTGACTAAATGTGTTGACCGATGCAAAATAACCATTTTCCCTATTGCTTTATACAATCATTTTAAATATTTGTTTTTATTAATTATCATTATACCCCTATTATAACTTTAAGTTAATATTATATAATCTTCATAAACTTTCAAAATACGATATTTGCCAAAAAATTTGTTTTAATAAATTTTAATATGCTAAAAACTGTAAATAATTCAATAATTAAATCCTATTAACGATTTTACAAACAATTAAAAGCATAGGTTGTACAAAAAAAACTTTTCTATGGATGAAAAACTTTTAAATTAAAATGAAAACAAACTTCAACAAGGCAAGAAAAATATGAGAAATTTCATTGAGGCATTTTGACGAACAGTTGCACTGTAATAATTCATATCAACCTTAAAGATTGGTATGTGAAAGTGGAACACACCTGGTTCATTTTCCATTTTCTTTTTTGTTTCTTCAAGTGACCGACAATCAAAGAACCAATCAAAGGCAAGGAGAAACTTTTTCTTAACAAATAGGAAACAAAAAAGATGTAGGAAGAAAATTATAAGCTTTTTTTTCTTGATGGAGAAGACGAAGTTGAAGGAGAAGCTACGAATTTGGTGGGAGTGTGATTGATTTTAAGAAAGAAAAATGTGTGGCTTTGTGTAGTAGGCGTACCTGATGAGAAGAGAAGAGGCACTGAAAGATGAGTGCTAGGGCAAGGGCACAACTCGAAGAAGTTTCTCCCTTTCTCAGTCAGCTAGTTCACAATTTCTTACCGAGTCAGATGTTGTTTTTTTGAGTCAGACACTCAAAATTGGTTTACCAAACACCTTTAGCTGACCGAGTTAGCAAAAAATGTTTGGCCCAACTCGATCAATCGCATATCAAATACAGCCTAAGTTTGAGAAAGCACTTGGTTCTATGTTAAATTGGAAACGTAGTAAACACATAGAAATCAAGGGACTATCAACAACATTTAACGAGGGCCGTAAGGAAGTGTTTAGTATAGATAAATGGAATTGGAACATATAATGGAAATACAAAGGAAAAGAATTAAGTTTGAGAAAGAGACTTGATTCTACTGTTTGATATAACAAAAAATTCAACTAAGAAACAGGAGAATCAATTTTCTTGTTTGATTATAGTAAACAATTGAGTGATGATGATTTTTTCACCATATTTATCTTTTTCAAACAACATTGTTTTTTTACAAAGATATCATTATGATTTACATACTAATTTCATTTATGTAATTTTAAGTTTCTATTTTTTATTTATTTTAACAATCATTTTCATAACTATAAAAATTCATTCTTACATTATATAAAAAAATATATTGCATTTTGTATTTCTAAATTTTATTTTTTTATAGTTTACTTTCATAAACCATCATCATCATGTGTCATTAATGGAATGTATTCAAACTAATTTTTGTAGTTAAAAGGTGTTAGGGTTCGAGATTGGAACTCAAATGAAGTGGTTTTATTGGAACACTCCAGAGGTTCATATTCCAGAGTTGATTTTCAGGAAAAACTTACACATAAAAACACATAAACATTCATCCAGAGGATTTATTTTATTAAAGAAAAGGAAAATTGAAGAAGGATATTAGTAACCAATTAAATTTAAATGAACGTGTACTATTTCAATTGGAAATGACACCTCATCATCATGAAGACAAATAAACATCTTTCAGATCGAATAATAAAACAAAGAGATCGATTTACCCAATTTCTTTGGTGTTACCGCTTATTTACTTTAAAGTTGATGTCATGGAGTTCTTACTATTGGGACTCAAAGAAGGGATGTCTTTAACCCCTCTCAATAGAGTAAGAATTCAGTACCTTAATCGAAGAAGAATGGAGTCAAAATTAGTGGAAGAAGGAAGTTGGTTAATCAATCAGATATGCAAATAGCCTAAGAAGCATGCGTTTGAAACCAGAAGAGTGAAATGTTTTTCCATTTCTTCGTTCTTTTTTTAGTTCCCCGCCTAATACAACTTTTCATTTCCAACTGTGTCTCTATAGAGAATTAAAAACATGGAATAAAATTTGTTTTGTTTCCCAATTCTTCATTCCATGCATTAATCAAACAAGAGACATTCCATTTCTCTCTACCAAACATGCCATAAGGGCATGAGCCTTTGAGGGCTGCAACTTTTATTTCTTGTTCACTTAGTTACAAGACTTCTTCTATGGGTAAGTTCATAATAACATCATTTAGAAGATTTATTGATGTCGAGACCTATTTGAGGATGATATATGCTACTAGATGGATGATGTTAAATATTTCGTCACCCAACTTAGAAGCATTGTGTCTGATCTAATCGTATTAAGATGCTCCCGCCTTCAGACGGAGAGGCCAATCCATCTTTTCCCACCCACTCAAGCTCTCCATCGGCAAAGCATTGATCATCGATGTTATATAAGAGATTATGGATAACAAAGAGAGATTGGAATTACATCCTTCGAGTGAAGTCAAGCCATTGAAGCCAGGAAAAACTTAGTCAACACGTTTTTAAAACCTATAAATACCCCTTAGGTTATTATCACAAATAGATCTAAGTTTTTTTAGGCTGAGTAACGACTTTTGGAGCAAGGAAACATTGAGAACACAACTTGGAGTACCAATATGATATTTTAGCCTTTTAATTTGTAAAAACATTTGTCAATTGCATATTTGGATTCATGTTTTTAGCTAAGAACGGCTAAAAACCCTTATTTTTAAGTTTCTAGCTCGACTTTTGACTGTGTGTTATTGTTTTTCGTTGGATTGACGCGTTACATTCATTCTTAATATAGTGATTATTTTTAGTTTTAATAACGTACTTAGATTTATATATATTTTTTCCATGAATGACCGCATGAATTAGTTTGATTATAGTAAAGTTAGCTGATTTATAAAACCCGTGATTGTTTTAAGAATTAAAACAAGTAGAAAAATTGAGTTTGGTCTTCGTTAGGACTTAATCTCGTTGTAAACATAAAATTAGTACGATTTCTTATGAAAATTACTGAATATTATTGAAAATATTTGTATTGAATCTAATGCAACTTCTTAATCTTATTCTAAGAACTTATTGGGATTAAAGTTAGTAAAGTTTGGTTAAAGAGTTTATTTTGACTAAATACTTCGAAAATAAAACTGATATTAAAGCTTATTAACATTACTAGTACCAACATAGGTTAAAAAAATATATACATATTAGTTCAAAATCAATTGCATATAGTTGAAATGAACACAAAACCATCTTTCAAAATTTGATATTCTTCCAAATGTATTCTTCATTTATTTTATTACATCATAGTTTTTGTTTCCTTTTAGTTAGTTAGAAATCTTTGCTATATTTTAATTGTTATTTATTTTTGTGTCAAGATTTAACCTTATATATTGTTCAAAGAGGTTTATAACATTAGTTATATGTTCATATGGATTCATTCATTGCTTAGCAATACTATACCTTTGTATAACTAGCAATATATTTATACTCAACTATTTCTAAGACCTAACATACTACATTGTCAATCATGTCTCTCATCTAATTCTTTATGTTTTTGTTCATAAAATCCGAGCTTTCGGCAGAAACCCTATTTTTCATCGACATTGTACTCTCTCACCGCCAACTCAAACCCTTCACTCTTTTCCGCCAAATTAAATCATCATCGTCATCGGTTCTTGAAGATAATGGTAGAAGGAAGGCATTGGGAGACTAAAAAGGGAAGGTGCTACTCAAATGTAGTTAAAAGTGTATTTATTTAATATGATGTTTAGTTATACTTAGATTCATAGTGATGAAACTACTTTCACAATAATTGGACATACTAACAAATATATAAATTTGAGTCGAAATGTACCTTAAAATATAAATATGTTGCATTCAATTTTGCACCAAAGCAATAAAAACCTAGGAATATGCAAAAGCTTTCTATTTTGTATTTATTACATTGACTAAATGGTCGAACTTGTTGATTTAGAAATTGTATTTTCTGTTCTGTAATAATAATAATAATAATAATAATAATAATAATAATAATAATAATAATAATCTTGTGTTTAAAGAAAAAAACATAGTTGTATTATTTTGAAACAAATAAACATAAACATCCATTTAATAAAAAAAATTAAAGAACTAATCTTGTGTTTAAAGATTAATCATTTAATAATATATTGTAATCATTAAGATGTCACTCATAATAAAATCCTATCGATTAAAAAGTTTGACATCCCTCCTCCCCAAAATGCTACGCTTTCCCTTTTTAAATTGGATAGAAATATCTCAAAAAAAAAATTAATCATAAGTTAGTTTTAACTTTTAACTATGTATCTTTGTAAACTATAGATTTAATTCGTTAGCTAGATAATAAAATATAAAATATTTTAGGAATGCGATGCAATTTGAAATTATAATTAACCATTTTTATAATTTTTATATTAATCGATGAGTTATATTTTTAACTTTTTTGACCGTTAAAAATAATTAAATTTAAAATAAGAGATGAATAATCAATGAAAAAACCCTGGTTTAAAAAATAACTACTACAAAATTACCAAACTAGTCATTATTTATTTTTGGGGTCCCTTATTTTTGGTAAACGATAAGTACATACACATTCGATTGGAAGGCCAAAAGAGTAATTTAACAACTTTAAGTGTTCTTCGTTTACTCGCAGACTGTGCTTACGGACATGAAATCAGATTTAAATGCAGTTCAACACTCAACAGTCCACACCTCTTCTCGCTCAAATCATTCTGAAATTTTTTCACTTTCTTCTCCAATCACAATTTTCTCTCTCTGCATATAGATACAGATATCTATAGATTGTGTACGTGTGTTTCTGTTTACACTTTTTAGTTTTTAGAGAGAGAAAAAACATCACACACACGCACGCGCACAAAGCGCAGACGTCTCCAGTCTCAACTCTATTTCTCTTTCTAAACTAAAAAAACATTCTCTCCGATCATGGCAGAGATGTTTTCGTTGAAGCTTTTGCAGATTAACATGGGTTTTTGATTTGTTTTTTTTTTTTTCCTTCAGTGGAGACATCTTTTCAAGTTTGAAGTTTGACTTCTTCAGGGTATCGTTCTCTCTCTCTCTCTCTCTCTCTCTCTCTCACACACACACACACACACACAGAACCAAGGGTATGTGTGTAAAGCTGTAAGGCCATTTTACTTTTCTAAATTTATTTCTGGTTTGAAAACATTTATTGTGGATGTGATTATTCTAAAATGGGTTTCATGAACTTGTTACTTTTTGGAGTTTATACAGCAGAGGTTGGGGGTTCAGTTAGAATATGGTATTTTATCGTCAAATGCTACTTTATTTTGTCGGTGTGATTGATTGATTGTTTTGCATGTTGTGATCGATGTTCAAATTTGCTAATTTGGGGCTTGTTATCTTGGATTACAAAATCAGTAACGATTGTAATGATTATCAACAATTATGGCTTTTCATTCGGAATCCATAAGAACAGTTCCCCTTTACCTTTTGTAATTTCCTCCATGGAATCCCCCTTTCCATAGCAAAAGCTGCTAAATGCAATGATTATGCACGTATCTGAGGGTTTATATGTTTCTGATGATTATAGACTTTTCCTATAGGTCTGTAAATGATAAAATCAATGGATTTCTCAAAAGCGGTAGGAAGCAGAGCAACTGGAATGTTATCTGGATCGGATACTTATCACGCTTCAAATGATGCCACTTTTTTCTCAAGTTCATTACCAGTTGTACCTCATGACAAGTGTGTGAAAGGAAATGGTTTGCTTGAAGACATGGAAGATCATGGAATTGGAAGCTTGTTACCTGATGAAGACGAGCTTTTATCTGGCATGATGGATGGTCTTGATCTAAACCTAAATCCATTTCCTAACCATGAGTCGGATGAGATTGATCTTTTCGGAAGCGGAGGAGGAATGGAATTGGAAATGGATCCGGAATCGGAATCAGATAATCTGAATTTCAACATGTCAAAGGTAAGTCTGGGTGATGGGATTGTTAGTAGCAATGGCATGAGTCAATACATGAATGGAGTTGGAAGTGGAACAGTTGCTGGAGAACATCCATATGGAGAGCATCCTTCAAGAACTTTATTTGTGCGTAATATCAACAGCAACGTTGAGGATTTAGAGCTACAAATGTTGTTTGAGGTATAATCAATATTTACCAAAAACAACTAAATTTACCTAAAAAGTTAAAAGTCTAACATATTATTTATATGTAATTTGTAGCAATATGGTGATATTAGAACACTGTACACTGCATGTAAACACAGGGGGTTTGTGATGATATCTTATTATGATATCCGTGCTGCAAGGACTGCTATGCGTGCGTTACAGAATAAGCCTCTAAGAAGAAGGAAACTGGACATTCATTACTCGATTCCAAAGGTTTGATTTATAATTTTTGTTAATTTCCTAAGTTAATTTAATTTGATTATTAAATACGAATCGTGTTAATTTCCTAGGATAACCCATCGGATAAAGATGTAAACCAAGGAACATTGGTTGTTTTTAATTTGGACCCATCTGTTTCATGTGAAGATCTTCTTCAAATCTTTGGGGCATATGGTGAGGTGAAAGAGGTAATGTAAAATATGTAATCTCACCAATTCCGTTACCTTATTTATTCCATTTCCTCTTCATTTATGATTCCATTCCATTCCATTCCAGATACGTGAGACACCCCATAAAAGGCACCATAAATTCATAGAATATTATGATGTTAGAGCAGCAGAAGCTGCACTCAGATCTCTAAACAGGAGTGACATAGCCGGGAAACGCATAAAGCTTGAACCTAGTCGCCCAGGTGGCGCCCGCCGAAAGTAATTAATTTCCCTTCCATTTCCAATTTTACCCTTGTTTCACAAAAGTAAAAAACATTTAATGATTCTTGTTATTTCTTATATGAATGAACATCATCAGCTTAATGTTGCAACTAAATCAAGAATTTGAGCAAGATGACGCGCGAAGTTTCAGGGTCCAGGTAGGCACCTCGATTGCCAGCTCACCGCCAGGTGTGTGGCCACAATTTGGCAGTCCAATAGAACGACAGAGTCACATTCACAGTCATAGTCATAGTCCTGTACAAAATGTTAGCAACAGTTTACCTGGATTGGCTTCAATCTTGCATCCACAAGTACAACCAACAAGAATAGCATTGCCACCAATTGGTAAAGATAATCATGGAAGAAGTAATAATAATAATAATAATTATAGTCAGTTTGACCAAATCTTCTCAAATGGGAATTCATCATCAAACAACGGATCTGTTTTTCAACAGTCTCGTTCGCTGCAAGGGACGATGTCGTCATTTGGTGCTTCGAGTTCAACCGCTTCAGGGATCGAAACGTTGTCTGGTGCACAGTTTCTGTGGGGAAGTCCCACACTTACCCCTACCCTTACCCCCACCACCACTCAACCTCAACCTTTTGCTAAAGGGTTGACCACTCATGGGTTTAGCCTCCCAGGGCAAAATGGTCATTTCCACCATAACCATCATGGCATTCATGTCGGATCGGCTCCATCCGGGATGATTCCATTTGGTGGTGGCCGTTATCATCATGATTTCATGAGTCCTTCGACTTATGGTGGCCAAATGGATCGCGGTTTCTTGAATTCTCATGGATCTGTGAATATTATGGAAAACAGTTCATCGCCTAGTTTGAGCAACATGTCAATGTCATCTCCTCCTCTATTCCTTGGAAATGGGCTGAATTACTCTGGAATAGGAGCCATGAATAATCATAATAATAATGTAGAAAGCATGGCCATGGCCATGAACGTGAACGTGAATGGAGGAGGGCGGAATCGAAATGGAAACCAGATGCAGATGCAGATGGACAACAAGAAACAGTTTCAACTTGATCTTGACAAGATCAAGAGTGGAGAAGATACCCGGACGACTTTAATGATAAAAAATATCCCGAATAAGTACACTTCAAAGATGTTGCTAGCTTCCATTGATGAAATTCATAGTGGTACTTACGATTTTCTCTACCTGCCAATCGATTTCAAGGTATAAATTTTCAACCATTTTTTTTTCTTAAATTTAAATTTAAATTTAATGTTGCTGACCGTTTTTGTTTGATGCGCAGAACAAATGTAATGTTGGGTATGCATTTATCAACATGCTTTCACCGATGCATATAATCCCGTTCTACCAGGTCTTCTCTTTTCTTTTCTTTTCTGAAGACCATTTAGTTGAGTTGTGTCAATATTAAAAAATTAGTTGTTGGTTGTGTTAAGGCGTTTGATGGGAAAAAGTGGGAGAAGTTCAATAGTGAAAAAGTAGCATCATTGGCATATGCTCGAATCCAAGGGAAGGCAGCACTTGTCACCCATTTTCAGAATTCCAGTTTGATGAATGAAGATAAGCGATGCAGGCCTATTCTTTTCCATTCTGAGGACGTTGATGTTGATCAGGTAACAGTAACACATAACAATGAATACCTTTTTTTCTTAAATGTTTTTGAGTATAATAAGATTATTAGGGTTTTTGTGTGTGTTATTTACAAATTACAGGATCCACTGGACCCGACACCATTTTGAAGTAACTAGTGCAAAAAAGGATGCTGAATCGTACATATATGTTTATTATATATACAACAAGTAGGAAATCCCACCAAAAGCAAAACCAAAAAACTAGGTGTGGGTTGTGTGGGTTGCTATTTTGTGAAGAAAAGAATTAAAGAAAATGAATGTTTTGGTAGTAGATATTATAAAGAGGTGAATAGCCTTGAAAATGTATAGGTGGAGATTTTACCCATATAACAAGGGTATAATCTCCTGTTTTTCACCTCTTCACTTCATTTTGGGTTTCTTTTGTTAACAAATTTGAAGTCATATTTTGGGGGGCAATTGTATAGTGGGGAAAAGGAAAACTTTATAACTTTGTATCTCGTGTGTTTGATGTTAATGACAGAAAATCAGTGTGTTGTTTGTGATGATTGATACTCCTTCCACCTTCGTATCTCTTGCATTTTTTAATTCCTTACCATCATCTATCAAACAACAGTTACAATCATACACAACTTGTTTATGATTACATTATATTATAATCACAATAACAACAAACAAAATGGAACACCATTGTCATTTGGATAATACATATCGCTAAATGCTCGGCAACAACTACATAGTACATGCATCTATATCTTAAAACAAAGAAAAATCTTATTCTGAGTTTCTAAACTATTTAATTAACTGTACAGTGCAAAAAACAATCTATATTAAAACACTAACTACACTACACTAATGATGTTTTATTGTAAAGATAATTTGGAGGTGTAACTGAGAAATTAATAAGGACCATTGTTACCAAATCTGTTGGCAATAATTGGACGCACATCTTCAACGTGAAGCAGAGACTCAAGGAAAGGTAGTAATGAAATTAGGGCACAATCTGATGGATCATCAAACCAACTCTTGATTGGAATCCCATTATTCACTTGCAACCTAAAAACCTGAAACTCAAAATACAAACCTTTTATTAGACAAAATTTTCATCCCTTATCAATCTGATTATAAGCATTCTATTTGTACCTGTGGAGAATTGTCGATTATGACAATTTTGGCAAGATCAACACCTAAAACCGTTAAATCCTTTGTATAACTTCCATCTGTAAAGATACATGAGTCTCTATAAGCTCTACGCGAGATCATCTTTCCATCTGGATCCAGTATATCAACAAGTTGTTTCGCATAAATGCTTTGACTCGCTGTGAATATCACAATATCAAACATTTCCGACACTTTTTCCAAAAATGCCCTTAGGTATGGTCTCTCTTTCACATACACAGTATGCTCCTTCAAACTAGAAACTACTTGAAAACTGAAGTCTGCATCCTTACACTGTTCCAGTGACGAGTGGACAAGTGTTTCTGTTTGTACACCAATTAATTAAAACATTTCACATGAAAATTTACACTAAAAAAAGAAAATAAAACATGTTTCTTACCATCTAAATCAAGAACTAGGGTGACAGATTTCGTTTCCCTTGATGATTCCTGGGGAATTTCTGTAAAATCAAGAAAATTCCTGATGAACATTTGTGGATTCAAGCACTCTAATGGATCCCATTCTGGAAAAGAATTCACATCATATTCATATTCCTTTAATTGATGGATCGCCACATATATGCTTGATTCTTCTGAAGCAATGACAGGTTTTGGATGTGTGCTACCACTACTATCTTCATGTTGACTGTTTGACTCAATGCTATCTTCCAGAAAAGGAAGAAGCATATACTCGTCAAAACAAAATCTGCTCAATTCATCATGTTCATAATCAAGTAAGCATGTAGCCTCTGAAATGGTGGCATATGCAGAATTCTTTTCGTTGCGTGAGCTAGACACAATCATATCAGAAATTAAAAAATCTGACACATTGATATTTGGTTCGATGTCAATGTCAATGGACTCCAGTATAGGTGAAAAGATTGTTTCTATGGTTGATGTATGATCCTGCAATCAATTGAAAATACCCATAAATGTAAGAAACTGTGATTCTAGGGTTACGAATAGAAAATGAACAAAAAGACTTTGGTTTGAATGTTTTACCATGCTATAAACAATGCCAGCATTATTACTTGAAGGTGATATATGCTTCTGAAATTGAAGAATTTCATCATCTACTATTTCACAACAGTTGGTTTCATCACCTCTTATTTCCTGATTGTTAGATGTAAAAGTATCAAGTTCTGCTTCTTCATTCTGAAAATTCCGCGCATGAGAGAAAGAGTTCTTGGATATCTTGCTTGATTTTTGACAGACATGGAGACCACGGTTTTCTTTTAGAGAGTCTCCTGATGATTTCGTCTTCATCTTTAGTGATGGCATTTGATTTGTATCTTTGATGTATATCACGATCTTGACTCAAGAACATCAGTGACTAAATTGTCTGCAAAAGAATATTTTTAGATGCTAATAAACCAGGAATCAGTATAGTTGAATCTCAAATCAACAATTATTCCTATTATCAGCTCCAATCAACTAAACCGAATAAGAAACAAAACAAAATGGCGGAAAACCTGAATTAAGAGAAAAGGCATATATTTCTATACATAGATCTAATAATTTCAGATATCGGTATCATGTATGTGAGTCGTTCCTTACTTCGTAATCATGATCCAGTGACTTAAAACATAAAAATTCAATCACAATTAACAAAATCCGAATTCTAATTTCAACAAAACATCATTCCAAATCAAAGTCAACACACGGAATTTACTAGATACACACAACTGATTAGAAAGAAGATGATCATAGATAAAATATGATTTTTGAAGAAAATAGCATTTCACAAAAGTAAGCAAAACCTAGAAGAATTCTACACTTTAATCGAGACCACGCTGGTTTATGAGGCTGAATCAACAGCAATGAACTCCAATTTCATATATGAATATACATATATGCCTTGATTTAGATACATAACAAGAATTACTTACTGAATTTTAATACTGCTCGAGTGATTTGAACTAATGAAGATGAAGATCATACAAGTTATCAATTTCAACAGTAAAATCAATCCTCGGTTATCTTACCTGTGTAGCAAAATCAAATCCATGTCGTCTCTCTCTCCCCACAGTTTGACGCGCTTCTCTCTCTCTCTCTCTTCTCTCTCTCTCTCTCCACTCCATATATAAGAAGCGGGTTTAAAAATTCATTTAAGCCCCACTAGTTTTGTAAAAATGCAATATAGTCCTTATGAAATCAGTATTTCCAATGCCACGCGTAATAAAAAATAATTCATCTTTATGTAATGAATTAAGTAGTATTTTTCTTAACTATCAGTTTGGAAAGACTAAACTGCACAAATGGTTCATGTGGTTTGCTTAAAATTGTCACTTTGATCCAAAAAAGTTTGAACTAGCACCACAGGTCCAAAGTTTTCATTTTATTGCTAGTTTGGTCCAATTTGTTTTGAACTTTTTCATAATAACCATTTTGCCCTTAATTATTTATTTATTTAAATATTTTTCTGTTTAAAAGAAAAATAAAAAAAATGTATTTTCTATTTTACTTTTATAATTTTTTTTATAAAGGAATAAAAATAAATAAATAAAATATACAATCTCTCTCTCTCTCTCTCTCTCTCTCTCTCTCTCTCTCCCTAAAATCTACAACCCCATCTTCTTTCATTCTCATATAAACGCCGATGCATCTTCTTCCATGTTCGTCATCTGCAAAAATTTGAGTTGAAGCTTACATCAGAATACTCAGTTCAATGGCTTACACCCAAAATCAATTGTTCTTCACGACTTTTTTACACCAATCAACACATGTGATCGATTCAGATTGAAAAAAATGAGAAACTGACCCAAATCCTTTAGCATAAAGATCTTTACGCATACCTGGATGATTGATCGAGTGAGTAACGATTTTACTGTAACTTTGTATCATAGTCGTTTCAAAACAGGGAGGAAAGTTGAAATCATAATCAAAGAAGAAGGAATGGAGATTTATTGGAATGGTGTTTTGGGTATTTTTATGGGGATTTTCAATGGGTTCAAGAACCCTAGTTTCTTCTTCTTCCTCTATATATTATATCAAATATCATAGATTTGCAAATGGTTTAATTTTGAGAGTGTGTATGTTAATATGTTTGATTTTCTACAGGGAGAAGGAAGAAGATGGGTATGTTCGTATGGGATGAAAGAAAGAGGGGTAGGTGGGTGGTGAGGATGGATTTCATATTCAGGGAGAATTGGTGGATTTCAAGGTCCGATGATGATGATCCTCGCGGAGGTCCAATAACCATCGATCGTGAGGAAGAAACAACTACTGTAAAAATTACATGCGGTTGGGGATGAGATAAAGAACACATGAGAGGCTAAATAGGGAGGAATAGATGGGAGGTGATAATCGGTGGTGGTTATGGTATTGCCGGAAAAAATGGAGGTGTAGGGATTCATTTCCACAAATCTTATTTAGGGTTGCTGATAGGAAGGGATGTTGGTGGATCTGAGGGTTTTGATCGGGTAGCGACAAGAAATCACTTACCTTGGTCGGTGGCGGAAGGTGGTGCTGGCAGCTTCCGGTTGTAATTTAGATGGGGTTCAAAGTTTTTGGAGGTTTGGGAGGAAGATAAAGGTGTGTCTTTATTGTTTGAGAGAGAGAGAGAGAGAGAGAGAGAGAGAGAGAGAGAGAGAGAGAGAGAGAGAGATTGTATATTTTATTTATTTATTTTTATTCCTTCATAAAAAAAGTTATAAAAGTAAAATAGAAAATACAATTTATTTTTATTTTTCTTTTAAACAAAAAAATATTTAAATAAATAAATAACTAAAGGCAAAATGGTCATTATGAAAAAGTTCAAAGAAAATTGAACCAAACTAGCAACAAAATAAAAACTTTGGATATGTGGTGCTAGTCTAAACATTTTTGGATCAAAGTGACAATTTTGAGCAAACCACAGGAACCATTTGTGTAGTTTAGTGGTTTGGAAAATATGTATGTTTTATAGGTTGTACAAAATAATAATGTAGCGTTAACCTAGCTACTGAAAATTATAAATAGTTGTGATAGATAATTACTTAATTAGATTATTTGGCCAATCCCTTATATAACTGTTCAACCAAACTTGTTTTAAGTAGGCAAGTGTAACTTACGCAGACTATTTCGACCTAACTGGTCCTTGTTCATTTTGGATTCAGTGTTTTTTATTTTATTTTTATTATATTTAATATCTTTGATAATTGATTTGAGAAAGTAAAACAAAGTTGGTGTTAAAGCATCAATATATTTATTATTTATCAATGTTGTAAGTTTATAAAACAAAACAAATTAAACAATATTAGCAATATTACGAACGTGTGAATGTAGGTGATTTTTTTATAGTCGAGCGAAAGTAGAGGGAATGGTTTGGAAAAATATAAACAAAGCAAAGGTCCGGCACAAGGCAGGCTGATTGGAATGTTTATCTTAGATATGTTGATCGACAATAGATTATGATTTAAGTAACGGCTGAGATTGGAATTCTCTTTGCCTTGTTTCAACCAATATAATGTTTACACGTGGCCATCTCTCTCTCTCTCTCTCTCTCTCTCTCTCTCTCTCTCTCTCTCTCTCTCTCTCTCTCTCTCTCTCTCTCTCTCTCTCTCTCTCTCTCTCTCTCTCTCTCTCTCTCTCTCTCTCTCTCTCTCTCTCTCTCTCTCTCTCTCTCTCTCTCTCTCAACAAACTAAAAGCAACAAAATAAAAAACATATTTTACTCTCCTTTTATATATATATATATATATATATATATATATATATATATATATATATATATATATATATATATAAAACAAAAACACTATAAAAAAACCCTAAAAATCATAAAATACATAAAAAAAATACTTATAGATCACAAAAAAAAAATTGAATTGTTTTTATAAAAAATCGCAGCTTTTTTTTAAAATTCGTTAAAAAAATCAATTTATTTATTTATTTTTTAATAAAAAATTTAAAATTTTTTTCAGCGAATTTATATAGAAACCTGCGATTTTTTATTAAAAAATTCAAAAAAAAAATTGTGATCTCTAAGTATTTTTTTTATATATTTTTAGGGTTTTTTGTTTTCCAAATAACCCTTCCATATATATATATATATATATATATATATATATATATATAATATATATATATATATATATATATATATATATATATATATATATATATATATATATATATACACATTATGTGAATATCCGCGCGTTGCGCTGAATAAAATTAAAACTTTTGGTAATTTTATGTTATTGAAAATATTTACATCATTTATATTAACTATAAAATAATAATTATTACATTTAGATTATATAAAATTATAATTAATTTGAACAATAGATAAAATAACGCTTATTAAAATCAAATCATTTAATGGACTTTACTCATGTTTTACTTGTGTATAACATTAGTTATATTTGTCAACTATTTTAATTTACTACTGTTGTGATTTATTAATTAAAAAATAACGGTATTTTAATTTCATCATGATGATTATTTTAATTATCAACAACTATTTGTAATCTAACATAATTTAATTTGTAAGTATCTATTATTTTTAAATATTACTATTATACATTAATTTAAAAACAACTGAATTGAATTTTAGTTATTATAAAATATAGTTTTCAAACACCTTTTGCTTAATTCAATTCATCCATTTAGGTTCTTTTATATTTATTATATTGAATGTTTTCCTTTTAACTATGTTTATATATATATATATATATATATATATATATATATATATATATATATATATATATATATATATATATATATATAGGGAAAAGTGAATATACCCATAAGGGTATATAAGCTTAGGTACCCAAACACACCATAATACATCGTTTTGTGCAATATATTCATTATAATGTTCTTAAACTTCAACCCCTAACTTGATTTAATTTCAAGATTTTCGAAATTTCACTATTATTTTTCTCTTATGTCACATCTTTTTGTTGAACACTTATTAAGTTATATTTATTGTAGTTGAAAATGAAAATTAAGAGGAAGATAAATGTGTAAAAAGTAAAAATAATGGAAGTAATCATTTTAGAAGTTAAATTATAAAAACATTGGACAATTATAATGTATTATATGATACAAAACGACGTAGTACGGTGAGTTTGGGTACCTAAACTTATATACGCTTAAGGGTATATTCACTTTTCCCATATATATATATATATATATATATATATATATATATATATATATATATATATTGAATTTTTTTTAAACATTATTTGATATTTTACTTCATTTTTCTTCAGCGAATAAACACTCTATAACCCTTCTATCAGTTGGACTCATAGCTTGACTCAAAACTTCATTTCCTCTCTCGCCTAGATTCGATTTCTCCCTTCATCAGCCTTGACTCTAGACCCTCACATGCAATCCTAAGCTTCAAACTGAAAAGATCAAAACAACACACAAGTAATAGAAAAACGAAAACAAACATCAAAATTAAAATCCTAAATTATCCCTAAATACTAGAAGTTTAGAAAGAAAAAAGAAAAGCAAACTCTAATGACGGGTTGCCTCCCGCAAGCGCTTCTTTTTGTGCGAGTCTTTAGCTGGACTCCCAACTTAATAAACTTCCAATAAACTCAATGTCATTCCATCCATTGCATTAAATATTTTCTTTGGAACAATTTGTAAAATTTGGCTCTTTTCTTCTAAAATTGGTCAAACGAGCTTGAATTCATAAAACCCAAGAATATTGACAAGGGTTGGAACCGGTTGGATACTAATCAAAAATGGATCGTGCCTCAGAACTTTCTCCAAAGTTGGAATCGTCACCCCATGCTTCGAAACACAAACCAAAAATATAAGGGGCCATGTCGTGGTAATGGTCAAACCACAGCTTGGTTCCTGCAATTCAGCTTGTTCTTGTTCTTCATCTAACCCTCCTGCTAGCAATCTTTCCAGCTCCTCCAAGTCTCTTTCTGGATTAAATTCTTCATCTTGTAACTCAGATGTCCCTTCTGTGTTGGGCAAGATGTTATCTAACCATCTTCCAAATTTCTGCAAATCTTCATCTGAGTCATACTCCTCATCTCCTTGCTCAATTTCCTGTACTACTTCCTCAAGAAAAGCATCAAAAGCATCGAGATTTGGAAAATACATAATAAATAAAAATAAAAATAAAAAATTAAACTAAATAAAAAAAATTAATCAACAAATAAAATTAAAAAAATGATAAAAATTAGCAAATAAAATTAACTATTTAGAACTGTTCCCCGGCAACGGCGCCAAAAACTTGATGTGTGTGAAACAAACTAGTTTTAATCCTACTAACTTAAACGCAAAGACAAACACACGAAAGGCAGTGTACCTATCGATTAGCAGTTTAGTTCAGGTAAATAGGGTATCGAACACAGGGAACGGTAAACAATTAAAATAGATGCTAATATTATCTAAATAAAACAAGTAATAGAAATGGGGTTTTCTCTAGTTTTGCAAGACTAGAAACTTAAACAATTAACTAAAACTTAAACTAAGAAACTAAGAGCTAAGCAAATAAAAATCAACTAAATTCAATAATAAAGAGGACTTCTGTTTAGGTTCGAATCATTTGTTCATATGGATGATTTTATGGTAAATATATCGAATTAATTATTCATTGGTTACCGACTAATGTGATTAGATTCACATTCACTATAGCTAATCCTTAGAAAACAGATTAATTCAAGCAATGGCCAGTTGTCTAAATTAATGAATTTCCTAGTTTGTTGATTCGGGTTTAGAAAGACTTGTAATTAGCTAATCAAATTGTTTATTCAATTAACCTCTTGTTGATGGTGTATCACACAAGCTCACACATTAACTTACCTATCTTCAAGTTAATTCAAGTTTCACATTCGTTATTCCTAGACATACAACTATGTGGTCACGTAAATCATATGAAATTAGCAACTAAGAGATGTTCATACAACTTAATTACTGATTTATTAACAGAAGAATAGTTATTGTTAACACATAAGGTTCTTTAACAAGCTTAATAAAACATAATCACCAATTAAAATTAATCCTAATCAAATAATCAATCCATGTTCACAAATTCATCTACCTAAACAGAAGTTATGAGTTTTTAGCTCATGATTACAATGGAAACAAGCACAAAAACGAAATCAATTGGTAAAAACATAGTTCAAACAAGAGATTAGGTAAGAGTAAACTTGATTTTGACTTGATTCTCCTTAAAATTGAATGTAGGGTTGATTCCCTTGCTTCCCACGCTCCAACAGCACCTTTAGTCGACAATTGGCCTCCAAGGGTTCATCTCCATCCTAGGGTATCGATCTGAAAGTCCCTTTATATAGATTTTCACAAAACAGGGGCTACTCGGCGAGTCCAGGGACCTACTCGGCGAGTCCATCACTTAAAACCCGTGTACGGCAAGTCAGCGCGTCCAGAATCGTGAAACTTCTGACCAACTCGGAGAGTAATCGGCCCTACTCGCCGAGTACGTTTGGAATCAGCATTTTCTCAAAACACGAAAGTCATCTGAAATTGTGTCTAGTTTTCAGAACATTTTGAATCTCGTCAATCGG